ATTGAAATGTGTTCGGCATAAAAGCTTTATACTTTAGTATGCAAACGATTATACTACTGTGATTAGGAGCTTAATGTGCGGAGTGCCTTAGACTTTTTTATGGAAAAGTGTTTTTGTGAATACTCACTGTAAAAAGTGCCTTTAAAAATCCGATTATTTTTTTTTTTTCCATCCCTACTTAAAACACATCAATAGTTTGCTCATTTTATACTAAGCTGAAAAGCCAAAAATAAGGCAAATGCTACAAAATCCGCGCCCTGATAATGGCTATTGTTAAAATTGTAAAATCAAAACTTGTCAAGACAAATTCTATGATTCTGGGGTAAATATGTTCTATTTTTAGTTCATTTATAAAAACGTGTTATATTAGATAGAAAGTTCTAGGTATTATTTGTTTTTTTTTTCCTCATGCGGCCGTACTGACTAGTATTGAAATTAGTAGAACCGCGTTCACTTGCGGTAGTTCTGCTGACCGACGAAACTGGTTGTGTTTGTACAAAGGTGTATTTAACAAGGTGGTGTTGACCGCATATAGGTAAACAATTACACTAACAAATTATACGCAGATACCCGTACTGTCATTGATAAGAGTTACAACAAACACATCATTTTGACGTAATGCCCTCCACAGCGAAAAACTCAGCTGTCGCACCAGCACTGCCTTGTTGAATACACCTCGGTTTGTACACAAGTGAAAGTACAGCGAAATATCCGCCTGCCGAAAAAATGCACGTCAGCGATTCGCGTAACCTAGAGTAGGGATGCACACAGTCGACGTCGCGGGCAAACTGCGCCCACGCGAGCGTGCTTGGCCTGGTGAAGTGACCCTCCAGTACTGCTGGAGTCAATCGCTACTTTTGAACCGCTACTAGGGATGCACGCAGTCGACGTCGCGGGCAAACAGCGCGCACGCGAGCGTGCTTGGCCTGGTGAAGTGACCCTCCAGTACTGCTGGAGTCAATCGCTACTTTTGAACCGCTACTGCACCGACCCTAGGTAAGTAGCTACTCTATTAACCCGTGGTAGTGCACATGGTAGTGCAGAGTCGAACCAGTCGTAAGTAGAATAGCGAAAAACTACGACAGAGGGCGCGCATAAATCACGCAAGCGACTACTTTAGTAACTCCCGGTAGTGCAGAGAGAGCCGATGGTGACTACCGCCTAGGACATTGCCTTGTAAAAGTAATCGATGAATTACACTGCAAGTAGTCGGTCGGTAATTGACGGTGTTTATCAGGTAGCTACCGATTCAGCAGTCCTGTAGTCGCTCCCCCGTACTGCAGGGGAGCTGTACGGAGATGGCATCGTATACATATTAATCACTACACACTTATTTTCAAGTAAATATGGGTGTATGTATGTGCACTTTTGCGACAACTGAGCCAGTGTGGCATCAGGCCACCAGAAAAATCCAATTTTTCCAAACCAAAAGTGCCAAGTTTTTATTATCATGTTTAATAATTTTTTTGATTCAGTAAAAAGTGTATATACATATCCATTTCCTCACGTTTTTATAAATAAATTAATTTCAATACATTTATAACAACACAAAACATATTTAATTTACCTATTCCTCACATTTTATTCAGTAAATGAATTCCATCTTAATGTAGAATATTAGTGTATAGTGTATACATACATGCATATGTACCTATGCATTCGGTGTGCTTAAATTAAAAAAGCATCACTAAATACCGCACCAAGCATTGAATTCCAATTATTTTGGCTTTTTGGTTTCGCAAATTTAGTTCAAAATGCACGACCTTGGCAACAGTGACCTGAGCACATCAATGCTTAAACAGTGATGCCAGACCAAGTATTGAGTAAATGCGCTATGTATATTTTTCTTTTAAAGCAAAAGTTCTAATTGGCGAGGGTATTGATTTTTGGTTCTTACATAGAACACTGATAAGATTCACAAACTTATCTTAGGACTTAATTAAAATAATCAGCATTGTTTGTAGACGTATATATTTGTGTTCGTAAGAAATAGTAGCTTATGTCGGGAGGCTGGCTTTAGTAAAATGTACCATTTCCTATATTCTTTAAACCACAAGGAATTTTTTTTATGAAACTTTATACGAATATTGNATATTTGTGTTCGTATGAAATAGTAGCTTATGTCGGGAGGCTGGCTTTAGTAAAATGTACCATTTCCTATATTCTTTAAACCACAAGGAATTTTTTTTATGAAACTTTATACGAATATTGACTTGCTAGCATCGCCATTAACATCACCGTCTTTTACGTGTATTTTCCAACAGTTATTTAACGACTCGGCGCCAGTGAGTCTTTCGCAATCGTATGCTGCGAATGGCTCATTATACTAAAGCCAGTCTTCCGACATAAGCTACTATTCTATACAAACACAGATATGTATACTTCCTAATAGGCTTGTAAAATGCCCAATACCCAAATCCCTCGCATGAGTTATTATCGGTAAAAAATTGGGTACGCCAAATCTGGCATCGCTGCAGCAAGTACATCGCCAGTGAAACAGTGTTGATATTTTAAGTACAATTGTACCTTTTTCTGTACATTTAATTTTAAAATGAACTAAAGTACAATTTGCG